CCCCAAAACCCCAAAACCCCAAAACCCCTTCAGCCCTAAAATATAGAAATAATTTATAAATAATGAAAGGCTCACTGGCTAATCAGGACGAACATGTTAGGCTGTACCTTCCCAAGATTAGGGTTGGCAAGACTGTCAGAGGGAAGAAGGGTGCAGGCCAAGGGAAAGGGGGTATATTGGGCAAGTAATTCGACAGGGTTTGTAAATTTTACCCTTTTTAGGGGTTTTGAAGTGGATTTTAGGGGTAATTGATTGGGGGTTGTAAACATAGGAATATAGAACAGGATTAAACAACTCTCCAGACTATTTCCACATTGAAACATATAAAACAGAAGGAATAAAGGATAACGATACATCAGTGTATGGGGAGTTCCAAGGTCAATTTAAATAATGAATTCTTGTCACGATTACAAAAAGATGAAAAGGGAATTTATGAAGAATCAGATATTTCTTCATTTGCTAATAGTTTTGGACAGATGAAGGTTGTTCCTCAAAGAATGAAGAGGAAACGATATGTTAGCCTTGGTCAGGTACCCTTATTTTAATCTCTAGGAACTCAAAACGGTTAACCCCATTCCTTATGATGAGATTCTACAAGAAGATCAATCTGATACAAAGAGTTATTCCAGGTTCGAAGCTTTCTTGAAATTTGAACTTGCAGAGAAAGAAGTAGTAGTCAAGAATAATAAATTCAAAATTGAGTACCAAGATAAACTCAGAGGCAAGATGCATTACTCCATTCCAGGAGAGTGGATCAACCTTAAAGGAAAGATCAAGAACAAGTACTGAGTCAATAATTATGTCAATAATAACGAGCCAGTCTTTTTAGCCAAAACTGCAGGTAAAAATCTAGCTCTCTGGGATTTTGATAATTCCACAATAAAATGTGATAATCGTTTTTATTAAATTTCTAAAAATTAAAATGGGATAAACCGAATGGGCTTTCTGCTAGAATTTTTTTTGAGATATAGAGCAAATTCTTATATGAAAAGTTAATATATTGTCCAAAATATCATCGGATTTCCAAGTACTCTTAGATTCCATTAAAACTCATTTACTTTGTTACTACCCTTTTCCAGATAAAAGTCCAGAATGCCTTAACATTGGTAATTTTTAGAAAAATAGCTTGCCAAAATCAGTCAAAAGAAAGCTAGAGTCAAGCCTTGAACTGGAGCCTAAATACGCTTCATATTTTCCATTGTGGCAAATTCATCCAGATTTTTCAAAATCTCACAAAAAACTTGAAAAAGAGAGGAATGAGTATCTTAACAGTATCGTAAGTCTGCCAAAATTCCAGAAACAGAAAAAGCTCACTCGGGATGATATAATATCTAGTCTTCGTAGAGGGATCCGTAAGAAAAAGCTCCAGAGTATTTACTCTAAGATGCACAAGGCTTTCCACAAGAGGTACTCGTGTCCGAACTCATGATTGAAGAGGAGCCCAATGAAGTAACCTTTTTAGTAAAGTCCTACCATTTTCCATATGAAGTACCCGATTTTATTTCAAGTTTTTAAATTATATAAGGGGTTTTGGGGTTTTGGGGTTTTGGGGTTTTGGGG